AATATCAGACCTCTTCCCAAAAAAGTGTAATTTTTTCAAAGGAAAGGCTTCTATACTTCCCGTACTTTATAGAAGGTATATACTTCATCCCATCTACCCATCCAATTTAGATCAAGTGGGCTACTGACCATTTGATCTAGATCCGACACCTCTGGATAATTTATTTCAATTTTTTTCTAAATATTACATGAATATGGAATTTGGTGCATGCCATCATCTCAGTGGGGCACACTTAAAAAAATATTAAAAAATATTTTTGATAAAATACAATGACTAAAATACGGCTAAAAGTTTTAGAGCCATTTTGGTTATTTTATTTTATTGAAAATATTTGTTTTATATTTTTTATAGGTGCAACTTTGAGAGAGGAGTGGACACCCATAATTTGGTGTCAAAATATTTTGTAAAAAAGTTAAAAATAAAATAGTGTAGAGGTATGACATTGTAATTGGTGCCATCTCAGCCGTCTATTTAGAATGGATGGTTGGATAGGGGGAAGTATATAAGTTTTATACAGTAAGGGAAGTATCGAAAGCTTGCCCTTTTTTCAATTCGTTTAACCATGGATTCATCGTGTGTTGCACTCCATTTGTCTTTTTAGGATCTTGAGCAGTAGGGGGGTTGTGTAGACATCTCTAGGTTGAATAACACCCTCTTACACTTGTCCATAAGAGTAGTAAGGGGTTGTGTCAACATCTCTAAGTGGAATGACACCCTCTAACACTTGCCCATTTATTACACAATTTTGACTTTATGTAAATACACTACTACAAAATTGAAATAATTATGTGTTGTACAACAATACTTTATGATTTTTAAACATTATATCATGAGTTCTTTATAATTTAATCCAATATTACAGTAATGTATATTGGTTGAAAATTAGTTTAGGAGTTGATTGATCAGTTTGCAAGTAGAATGATCAATAACAAACTACTTTGGATAGAAGGGCACGTTATTGTTGCATAAACCTCACCAAAACTAGCTGATGATTCTTGTTTACTGTTGTGATCACTAAAATTCAATAATGAATCCCTATAATTTGGCCAGACAATAATATGTCTTTTAAATGATGAATTTCATGACAATTTAGTTACCATCACTCTATCAAAACTTTATGACCGCAATCATAAACTGATGTAATATCATTTAAAAGTAATTTACAACAAATTTGAATAGAATCAAGATTAAAAACCAGCTGAATTTTTGGTGATCCTTGCTTATTAATTTTGATCTTTAGATCATAATCAACTTTATTTGATTTAGATTATTTGATAAGTTAGTTTAAAAGCTAGATTGATCAATTAGATGAATGATTGATCAATCAATTTGATCTTATATGGTATATGCTGCTAAAAACTACAACAACGTGTAAACCAAATGACTAATCCAATATATATATATATATATATATATATATATATATATATATATAATCTACTACTAAACTAAACGTAACGTAGAAAGTTAATAGTAACTAGTACTACGTTT